TCAAATGATGAGATAAAATGGCAAGTGCTATATCAGAAAATATTGATTAGGTATTATTATCCATGTTTTGTGCGATTTTCTTTCACTGTGACTGCCTCAAATACAGATATGGTGCTGCAGGCACAGTTAAAGGGCTCCACAGGGCTTTCTTGGGCAGCCGAATATCACGATATATCGCCAAAATGATTATTTCCCACACCCCTACATATTTTTGCTTTCTGACTAAAAAACTCTGGACTCTTTGCAAAGAATAGGGATGCACATACTGTAGAGTACATTTATATTATAAATAGCAAAAACATGTAAAAGCAATCCAAGGCTCAGAGATGCAACTGGATTACTTGATTATTAAACAAATTCATAAACTTAATTAATAATTACAATCAGTCTAATTGTCTCAGCCCTGCATCTTACCTAAAGTAGTGCTGGTTAAGAATAATAATTTCATATCCTCCTCCCATTAATACTGAGCGATTAGCATGTTGTCCTGCATTTCATAAAGGCAGTTTGTAGATCAACTTTGCTCAAGCTATCAAGTTTGTATAAGTTTTTAAACATATAAACCTTTGATTTGTTTCATTTAAAGTTGGTGGCGTCAGGAGTTTTGTGTAGAGGAGCGCTGAAGAAGTTTACAGATGAGAAACAGAGGAAAGAAGAACAACTCATTTATGTGGTGTGTTCTTTCCACACATAGTTGTGATTATAGAAAGCACAAACAAGTCAAAGAGGAAAACATGAGCATAGATGTTGTTGTGGTTGTTTACCATCCCCCGCAGCTGGCTTATCATTAGTGCATTATTGCATTAATGCACTTTTTGTGCCAGCAGTGAGGCCTGGAAGACAGCTGTGTGGAAAGAGTGCATAAGAGGGAAATAGTATTAGCAGAGCTCCTGGTCTGCTCTTAAAAGTCTGCCACTGACTCCTCGGGTCCCTAAAGTGATGTAAAAACTCTCCGGACACTTCAGTAAAAAGCTGACGGTGAGGGGAGACTGATTGATTTTAGGATGACACTATGCAGGGGCTGTCAGTCATTCTGCTTTTATCCAGCCATGAGTGGAACTCATTTGCCGATGGTTTTATGAACAAAGGAAGCTCACAGATTTCTTTCTCTGTACTCATTACAGTCCTCCTAGTAAGAAATGGTTTTAATATAAACTTGTATGAACCAATATATACCGTAATATATCTAACTTCTTAACTAATGACTGGAAGTGGTCCATACTGTCTTCCCTTTATTTCTATGAATTAGTCAATGCTTTACTGACTTCCTTTTGCTCAAGCAGTTGCCTTCTTTCTGTTTGATGGAGAGCTGTAGCCTCTGACCCCTAGCTGTGTGTTTATGCACTTCTTGCACCTGCCCCTTGCTTGATGGCTAACAGCACCATACATACGTTCACTCGGGTCACCGAATAACGGGCCGAAACAAACAGGCACATGTCTGCTTGTGTTACACGCACATGCACCTTGCTCACATAAGTCACACAGAATACCATTGTTCAAGCTGGCAAAATCACCAGCCCTTGTGTTTTTTTACTCTTCCTGTGCGCCCCACATTTTTATAGTCCAACAGCTGGACTAAAGATTTTCGAGACCCCCACATTACAGCAACTACCGACGCAGCAGGTGCACCGTGGCCTTGGGGGATCTACGTGGGCAGAGGGGGCGTGTTAAAGTGATACCCCTGGTAGTATTTATGAAAGAGCAGAGTGGAGGCCAGTTATTAAATAACTCCATTTAAACTAAAACAGGCTGTTTACCAGCTGATCTAGACGTTTAAAGGAGAAGTCTGGTCATATGCAGAATTCAAACTACTTTAAATATGAAATTATTACATACTGTTCAATAAATGATAATTTTCATTTGAATGAGCTTTACTGGAGGCATCCATGTTTTTCAAAGAACACTACTGCCACCTACCGGTTTGTGACGTCACGGTGCGGTATCGGCTGTTGATCAAGTCCCAGTGCTGTATCTGGTGTTTGTCACAACGCGCTATTATCCAAGTCATCTTGAAAACATTCTTCTTCCAAATATTGGCTACATATTAGGTGTTTTTTCTCTGGCCAAAAGTTTGATGCCAAATCCTTGCTCTTTAAGTCGGGAATCCAACGGTGAACCCATTGATGGACGACCATGAATCGGAAAGCTGAAATAACAATTTTTGTTTTCACTTTTACCTGATGTATATAGATCTGGTGAATTTCAATGGTGAATTCTTCTGGAAATCTTCAATAATTGCTGTTGATTGCAGATGTGTCTTGTAGGTCCCATTGATTTTGCTCGTAAAGCGGGGAGAATGGCGCTTAACGCACCGTGACGTCACTGCCTGAAGCTGGCAGGAGTGAGGTGTTAGTATATTTGGGCCAAAATGGCCGCTCACAGACTCAATGACTCTGTTCGAAATCCTGGGCTGTATCCTCCAAGGATGCGGTCTACCTAGACTGGGTCCTTCGAAGTCCTTGAAAATAAGGAGACCGGAAGAGTTTTGGCTGTGGATTTGAACAGGTCTACCCTTTAGCGAGTTTTACAGCTAAATCCGACCAGACCTCAGCGTCGCGCTATGACGTAGTCGTCCTTCGAATCTGGCCTTCTAAGGACGCATCCCAGGTTTTCGAACAGAGCAAATGATCGTTACAAGAATTGTTTTTATTTTTATACTGATTAATGCTAAATTCAATAAAATCACCGCTAACATATTAGTTTTAGGTATAAATAACGATCTATTAATTATTCTTTGCTGACCCGACTTCTCCTTTAAGACCATAACCTTAAAAACTTGAACTATTTTTGCTTTCTTGTCTTTTTTCTGTTATTGTATTTACGATGGTGACTTTCAACAGAAACACACTTATTTCTCAGATTCCTGATTCTTCCTGAAAAATAATGTCCCTGTTGGATCTAAATCCCATAGAACGCATTAAGGGAAGGATTAAAATAATACATTTCATGTTAGGAACATGGCTGCCTGTCGTTTGGCCATCTTCATGTTCCGTAAAGCCTACTGTACAGTTGTGTGTTTATGCCTGTTCAGAGTCTCTTGCTCATGTTTCATCTGAAATCTGCAGCTCAGACTAAAGAACTGGTTGTGAATCCCTGTAACTCCTTCAGTGGTATTTTGGTCATGATTATATCAATTTTTACCTGTTTCCAGAGGAACAAGAGGCCTGTCATAAGGCCATAACCATCGTTGTGCTAGTTAGTGTAAAAAAGTAATTTGTTACCTTTACTAATTACTTCATCAGCTCTGTTACTGTAACATGTAACTTTTAATTTACTTACAAATGCCCTTACTGATGTCCAGTTTGTTGCCGTACAAAACCATCTTAAATAAAGTTTTCAACATTAACATTTTCAACATTAAAATAAATAAAAATACAATTGCTCTAAAAACACGCTCATCAAAAATGCATCGTTACGGAAGCAGAGAGAGGTCGTCCATTACCATAACATCACACAGTGATGTATTTACAGCAGGTATCTGTAGTGCTGGGGGGGAAAGCAAACCCACTACTGTTTGTCTCGGTTACCGGCCACGTCTCTCTTCTATTTATCCCCCCGCTCTACTCCTTCCTATCAGGCTGTCTCTCTCTCTTCTACTCTAAGCTAGTGGTAATGAGGTGCACTAAGGTGTGCCTCAGAAACATAATCTTTCTTTTTCCTCTCTTTGCTAATTAAGCCCTCTCCTTTTTCTTTCAACCTTGTCTCCAAGTTGGAGTTGATGCTTGCATCTCTGCTCCATCTGCGACCTATTAGATTGACCCAAAGACATTGCTCTGATCCACCTGCAGCAATGCACTGGTGCAGCAAAGCTGCGTTTTATTTGGTAGAAAAAACCTCTGACCATCGGTTGGTTTGGCTAGATGAACCCGAGAATCCTTCTGAACTGGCTTACCTCACCGCTGCTTTCAAAGCTGTGTGGCTCACACTGAGCCTGGTTCTGCTGGAGGTTTCTTCCTGTTAAAAGGGAGATTTTCCTCTCCACTGTCGCTAAAAGCATGCTTAGTGTGAGGGATTGCCTTTGAGTCAGTGAGTCAATGCAATTAACTGGTTTTCCTTAGATAGAAAACTTTGAATCTATTTGACTGGATGATCTGGATGAACTTTAAAGTTCCTTGAGATGACATGTGTTTTGAATATGAGGCTATAGAAATAAACTGAATTGAATTGAATTGGAAGCTGGCTCTCTGTCTACTGGAGGGACGGTAGCACCTGTGTTCACCTGTCTGGAAGTCGATGACTAAAGGGTGGGGAGTTGACGTTTTTCCAGCACTCTCCTGGGTATATGTGCAGCAGTAAATGTGTTTTAAAACAACATTTCTGCGACCGTTATGCTCATTTGCGGCCATTGCGTCGGCCTAATTTCAGTGAAATTTTGACAACTTTCAGTGTAACCTGCAGTTGTGGTGAAATGCGCTGGACAAAGGGCCAACATGCTGATGAAACATGAGCACATCAGCCTAAATTTCTTCGTAGCATAGACACATTTAACTGGCTAATCAGTAGCAAGACACCCTGCTGAGTGAAACACATTAACTGATATTTTTTTTTTTAATCTCCAATTACCTGATGCCAAGTTTGCAGGTGAGTGAAAGAATAAGGAACCCTAGGGCAACAGTAACCGACTTTTTTAAACAGAAAAACGGGTTACAGTACATGTTATTGACAAAAGTAATGGCTTTATGTTGATGATAACGTTATATCATCCTGAAAAGTTAAATGCTTAAACAGAAATGTTCTTAGTTATCCACATGTGAGAGATTTAAAACATCTTTATTACTAGCTGCTGACTTATTCATCAAATTCATGTATGCGCTGTATTACGTTATGATTAGAAAACCTAACCTCCTTTAGAAAGACATTAACGTCTTTCACCCGGTTCTGTCCTAAACAGACTGGTAGCTGTTAAATGAGCAAGCAGAGCGGCGTGCAGATCTGCTCCGTTTGACCCGCAGGTATATTAAAATGTGGCAGAGAGACTCCAGCTTGGTTTTCAACATTACCATCTTCCATCTGGGGTTGGGGAGGGCCTCTCAGACAGCAGGTGAAGAGGTTGATTGGTAATTTGTCTGAAAGAGAGAGAGAAGGGAAGTCAGTGGTTAGGGATTTTAGCAATTTCCAGCAATTCCCTCGGTTAAGTGTGGTATTTGTGGTCAACTTAAATCCTGCCATCCTTCTCTGCGTGCTTGCAATAAAAATATATTTAAACTACAGTTAAAATGCACTGAAACCCCAGAGAGGAAGTTTCATCAGATGTTTGCTGTCGTTTCGTCCTGGACTAAAACAGTTCAATGAGGTAAATGTATCGCATTCAATCACTTCTGGAATGTCCCAATCCTACAATATTTATACTTTCCTCCTTTTTACCTTCCTTTTTCAAATTAAACCTCTACTTTTTTTTTACTTAGTGTTCCACCCATATGTCTGCTATCCTTTTCTGAAGTGTGTGTGTTCATTACTTGCAGGTTATCCTGGTGTTTCCTCTGCAAAGCTTTCTGTCTTTGATTCCTCCTTTCCAAACAAAGCCTCTCATGTTAGAAAACAAATCATCTGACGTCAGGCATCTTTTGGGAAAGTCTTTAAAACAGAAAGAAAAACCTAATCCCAGAATCTTTTTATTCAGATATCATTTTTTATATCATTTATGATAATTGGATGAAAATCCCGACCAGATTCAACTCATAGAAAAATAAGTGCATCATTTAGAAACATCTCTGTTCTGTTATGCTGTCTGTTATCTAAAGTAAAGCAGCCGAACCAACAGACATCTTTTTCAGGATTCAGAAATGTTGTTACTGCGATATTTATGGCTTTGGCCGATTTGAGTTGAAACCTATGATATGAGCGAAATGATAAGGATATCTTCTGATTATTCTTACGTTTTTGCCAGAGTTCTGCTTCAGCCGTACGCAGCGCCGCTTATCGCCTTATTTGTACAGAACAGTTGGCAGGAAACCAGTTGTTAAATGAAGTCAGTTTTGTTATGTTTACTCTGATTTTTTTTTCCTGTGTGCAGTGCTTTAACACTGAAGTTGTTTTATTGTTTTAGTTCATCTGTCAAATAATCCAGAAGCTACAAAACAAATCTGATAAAATCTACATTAAAAAAAAAGAGTCGGTTTGTAGCTCAAGCTCCTATCTGGAACTATAGATATGTGCTACATAGAAATAAGTGGATTGGATTGCTGCATGGAAAAGGTTATTTGGTCTTTAAGACATTTTTTAAACGACAGTGGAGGTTGGCTGTCCTATGAGGATTTTTGCGTACTGAATAATTTGAACTGTTCCTATTCTTAGTTTAACACTGTCATTAACTCTAATCCGGCAGCAAATATGTGCTGCTCATTATTCCCGAATGGTTCAAAACCAACTCCCGGTATAAACATCTCCTTTTAACAGTGCTGGAGACCCTGTTTTCAGGTCTGCAATGAAGTGCCCTGACAGTGCAGGTCTGCAGCCAGGCTCTCTTGGACAAAGTAGAATCTAGCTTAGCCTGAGTAAAGAATGGGAAGTAAGTAGAGGGTAACTTATTAGTAGGCCATGAATAATTCATTTGAAGTAAAGGATTTTTTAACCTCTTCTAGACCAGGAGTGGAGAGAGGTTTTGTGTAGCCTAGCAGGCTGGAGCCTTTAAGGGCCGGTTATCCTCCTGCAGCACTGAGTCGCAGTGAGCTTGTCGCAGATATTTTTGATTTATGCCCAGTATTGAAGCGTGGTCTGCGCTATTTTATTTCATGCTACAATGCAAGAGGGACGATCACTAACTAGCTGTGGGTCTAGATACGGCCGAGGCGTTGAGGAATTGGGGGCAGGTTTGTGCGACAACGGAGGGACATGAGGGCGAAAAAGAGCAAGGATCCGGGTGGAAAAAGGGTCCCAGCGTTGTTGTGCACCTCGCTCTTCTAGCTGGTCCGTCTTCACGAGTCGTTTTCCACAATGGCGGTCATACAAACAAAACAAACCGGTAAGGTACCAAATAGGAAATATGCATAGTAGAGCAGATGTAGAATTGACCAATCAGCGGCCTCCTGTCTTCAGCACTGTCTGCGGTCACCTACAATTTTGGAGAGATGCAGCAGAGTGTCTGCAGAAGGGGCGGGGAATATCTGCGTTCACTGTGAACACACACGCAGACGACCTGGTTTCTTAGTATAAATCCGCCTTTTTGATGCCTGAAGCTAGCGCTAAAGAGATGGCAGAGGACTGGATGAGCCGTTACATTCGCAGAGATGTATTTATACGTGAATTTAGGGCCATGGCGGCAAAAACATTTATGACTGATGAAAGCCTGAACCAGCATTTACCCTTTAAAATGCAGTAAAATGGTTAAACCACTTGGGGCAGCACTAAAGTGGCTTTGAGACAACAATTAATTAACTAAACAATGTCAGTTAAAAATGTAGATCAGGGGTCACCAACCTTTTTAAGGCTGAGGGCCACTTCAAGGGTACCGAGACTTAGGATGGGTGACCATTACTGACCCATGAGCTGCAAGGGTTAGCGTTAGCCTAAACTTTGTTCATTATTATCAACATATTTTTCTTTTTTCTTTTAATTTCTAAGTTTATTTAGACATTGTCATTTTTGAAATCTCTATATGGGTAAATGGTAAATGGCATGTACTTATATAGCGCCTTTATTCAAGTTGGGAGACTTGACCCAAGCGCTTTACACTACATTCATTTACGCACACACTCACACACTGATGGTGGCAAGCTACATTGTAGCCACAGCTGCCGTACACTGGCGCCGCCGGGCCCTCTGACCACCATCAGTAGACAATGCAGGTGAAGTGTCTTGCTCAAGGACACAACGACACTGAAAGTCTGAGTCGGGGCTTGAACCGTCAACCCTTCGATTTCAGGGCAAATTCCTACATCCAACGCCACTGTCGCCCTATAAATGATTAAAAAAAGGAGCAACAGAATAAAATAAAAATTCGAACTTAGCCCACTGGTGGGTTGTTCTTTATTTAGAAGACTCCCCTCACCGCATTGGTGACCCCTGATGTAGATAGATGCCTGATAACATAGGACTCCATAGACCAGGTTAATGCAATTAAAATTTTAAAATAGTGGAGTAAGCTTTAAAACCCATGTTCTGTTCTGTTTTTTTTTTTTTTTGTGTGTGTGGGGGGGGGGGGTTGGTTGTATGATGTCATTAAAGGTTATTGTAGCCTTAACATATGGAATTCATTTTCTTTCATCTGAGCAAAGACACGTCATTATTAATCAAAAAAATAAAATTAAATGTAAAGGGATATTTAAAAATTGTTATCCAGATAGAGAAGTTTTAGAATTCTAAAAAAAAAAAAAGTTTTAAGGCTAACATTGCTGTTTTCTTTGACTTTATTGTAATTAACATTTTCATTTTAAAAAAGTTTGTTTTTTATAGATATTATATTTGAATTGTTTTTTTTCTGTTTTATTACGTTTTTGCGAATTTTGTTCTTTTCCTTATTTGTTTTACAGATTATATTCTCTTCTCTTCCGGGACGGGCTTTACTTTGTTCTGCAGATGCATTCCTATTGGACTGCTTGGACGTTTACACTATTTTGTATTGGGCTGTAAAAGTGAATAGACGATGCAATAAGTAAAACTAATGCAAAAACGGGAAGTTGAAAAGATAACATCAAATTTTTTGTAAGATGTAAAAGAATAGCTGAAACAAATCAGAAATGAATTAGAGAAAATGAGATGGGTACTTTCTAAGCCTTTTTTTCCCCTTCTCTTGATTAAGAACTTCAAAATTTTATTTCTGGATTGTGTTATTTGTTTTTATATCCATTTACAAAACATGCTCTTTGCTTGCAATAATAATGGAACAAAATTCACTCCATACTAGAAAAGCCACATAAGAAGCTTTTTAAAGTTGCAGGACTGCATTTCATATTCCGCTTTTTTTTATTAGGTGTGAAATATCCAGGCCCGTCACCGACTCTCGAGGGCTTGGTCCAAAATCTGGAGCTGAAGTTCTGCAGCCGCTCAATGGTGAAATGTGCCTCGGGAACTGTGGGAGCTGTAAAAGTGTGCGCCAGGACCCCAGGTGTGTACAGCTGTGCCCTGTTAAAACTTTACTGCTTGTGTAGGAGGGAAAGAGTGAGAAAGACTAGACTCTTCCTTTACTTTCTTGAAGTCATACTTTTACACGCTCCACTCTGTCTCTATCCCCCCTCTCTCTTTCTTTCTTTCTTCAGTTCATGCTTTATCTTGATTCCTTTCCAGCTATATGATTCAGCTGCTGTTTTCTCCGAGGGCTCCGCCGTTGGGATGTGGTCACGTCTTTGATAGGACGGATGTTATTGAAATCGTGTCATAGCCAAAAGTTCACAAGTTCAAAAAACACACATGATGTTGGTTAGATTGGATTTAACACAGCTGAAATTATAGAAACATTTAAAGATAAAAGGGTGTGTAATAAATTTGAAAACTTAAAATAATATGAGTTTCATAGAAAAATGCATAAATAAAGTAATTCACTACTTCATATACAACAGGGGATGACCCCGTTTCTGTGCAGCTGAGACTGTTTTTGCACTGAGCATGTTGGTCATAGATGGAGGGAATTAATATATTTAGGACTTGCCCTCTGACCTCTGAAAGCTCCTCAGAACACAGCAGCAATGTCCAAACTTCTTGAAAGACATAAATTTTTCATAAAGATTTCAAAAATTCTCTTATTTTTGTTTTAAACTCATTCAGCATTGAATTCATCACTCAATATTTTAACAAAATAATCAAATGAGGGTCCAATTATTGCAGCTATCGTAGAGTGTTTCACGTTTGCCAAATAAAAAAATAAACCACAGCACAGTGACCATTGTTGTTCTAGATTTGTTGTCTTATTAGCAACAAGGACATGCCTCACTCCTGCTTTATTTTCCCACCTTAAATAAACCTCATTGTAATTAAACAAAAGCAAAACAAGACCGAAAATATTTAAATAATGTTTTAGATCATGTTTTACATTTTAAGAGGTTTTTTTATTTATTTTTCGGTTGTTTTTGAAAGAAATTATTATTTTTGCATCATCAGCTGCCTAAAAAGGCAAACCAAATTGATTTGTTTACTGACGGGGGCCACCTAAAGAGGGGCCCAAATGGCCCTTTGGCCGCACTTTGGACCCCTGCACTGGAGCCTTATTCATCCAAACGCTGAACAGGCTGCATGTTTATTATAGTCTACCTGATTAATTTTAAATTTAGATTTAGATAAAATTAAATTTAGATTTAATTTTAAAGCAACCTTAATGATAATTTAGTTTATTTATAATTCACATCACGCATCATGTCAAGACCTTTTATATAGACAATAAAATTAGATCATCCAGAGCAAGTAGCTCCCATCTAAGGAAACCCAGCTGATTGCATCCATTGGTTGACTTTCAGTCAGCTGCACTTGTTGACTTTGCAACAGTCATATTTATCATGCATGTAGTGACAGTGGGGAGGAAAGCTCCCTTTTTATCAGCAGAACCAGAGCTAGACTCAGTGTAAGCAGCCCTCTGCTATGACCCCTCAGGGTTTAGTGACACAAAGGACGACAAATAATAATGATGTTGCCTAACACAGTGGTTCCCAAAGATTTTCTTCTGGGCCCCCCTTTGGATTACAATAAAATATCCACGCCCCCCCCCCCCCCCCCCCCCCCCCCCCCCCCCCCACATATTTTGTTTTCAAACTCCACTGAAGTTTATTTCACACTTCAGGTTGCAACAAAACAAACTACACCATCTTGTGGTGGGTGTAAGTGGAACACTTTTGTGTAACTGTATTTTTTTCATAGTTCTATACTGTAGATTAGAAGAGGATTCTTTGTTGTCTGTGTTATTTTAAACATATTTCTTTTTTTTATTTGTAACAATATTTAACTTTGCTATAATCTATACATTAAAAAAGCCTCTGTGCAAAATGGAGTGAAAACATTTAACAGCTCCCTGAGAGTTTTTTCTTTGTACTTTAATCCTCACATCTTTTCAGTGGCTGTAGTGAGCCTGCTTGTTGCTGTAGATCTTCTCAAATCTGGGTTGCAGTGTCACAACTGTCCATTATGCTCAGTCAAGCAAGCTCTAATTTTTTATTTTTTTTCTTCACTCATACCGCTTCCCGCGCCCCCCCTGCAATGGCATTGCGCCCCCCCTAGGGGGCGCGCCCCACACTTTGGGAACCACTGGCCTAACAGGACAGTAGTTGCAGACCAATCTTTATGGTCTTTCTGTTTGTAGTTTGCATTCAGGCTTCTACAGGGACTCTCTACTGGGAGTGTGTGCCACCAACCCTGCAAATGTAAACAAACTCATACCTGGTATAGCAAATATCAAAAAAACAACTTAAGAAGGGTTAAAAAATCAACTATTAACTATTGAAGCCTTTATACAATCAAAAATAATGTAGTTTTACATCAGAAATGTTCAATTTGATTCAGTTATTACTTTTACTGGGAGTTGGAATGAAAAACTGTTGAGTATTAATGTCTAATGAACTGTGACATACAGAGATATATGAGTTATTTCTAACTTTTGAAAGAAGGTTCAGCAATCCGATTGTGTTTTTATATATATTTAAATAAAGGTGGACTAGTATGTGTGATGCCAGCTGTTTGCTAAAACCTCAGAAATGGGAAAATCTGAGAATTGAGATTTACCTTCAACCCTTGTCTTTTAGGTTCAGAGGAGGGCGTAAAGGAGAAGCTGGTTCCACTTATTCAGGGCCCGTCTGACACCAAAGAACTTCATACGAGTCGCTGGCTTAATGAGATTCGCAAGCCTGAATCCTTATTGGCACCGGACCTGCTGGCGTTTTCTGTTCAAGTACCTCAGCAAGGAGAAGATTGCAGGAACTCAGGTAAAAGAAGCGCTATCCAGAGCCAAAGAGGAGTTTGTTTTAGATGTGGGAAGACGGGTCTTAGCAGGGATCCTATTATTGATTAAAAAACGTTCCAGCGGGAAGGAAAACAAACTCAGTTTAAAGCTTGGTTGATGCGAGAAAAGTCATTAAATGGATTTGTTTGTAGCAACAGCAAACATTTGAGTTCTGAAACATGACAGGGAGGTGGTTAAGCTTCACTGGCATTAAATAGATTTATGAAATCTGCTAAATGATGATATTGGATAGTTTCAGATTATTACTTTGATTTAGTACCTCATGAACTCAATAGAAAATGTAAGATATTAAAGCCTGACATAAAGACAAAGCAGACTGAAAAGGAGCATGAGGAGACTGAGTGAGACAGAAGATGAAGTTGATGAAGTCGGACTTTGAGTCTATATCCCCAGCAGATGTTAAACAGAGTAGGTCTGCAGTCCTTCTAAGCGTCTTTTTTCTAATCTTCTTTGTTTGAAGGATCTTTCTCATTCTCTCCAAATCCTTTTTTTTGCTATAGGGATTCTCTATATCTAGATCTACAGTTGATTTGACTCCACTCATGTTGTGTATGTCTATAGTGAGCTGTTTTCAACTAGTTCTTACTAAGCCTCATTTTATGTTGATGTTGTCGGGTGTAGGTTTTCTCACCATACTTGGTCGATTCATTCGGTACAGATCTGTCAATTCATGAACTGATGGAGCAGCGAACAGATGAGCTGGAACGTTTCTGTCCACTGAAAGGTCTGGTTTCTCTGTGCCGTTTAAGATCCACATCAAAGACTTTGGTGTGTGCCGCAGTCCCTGCTGTCGACCAGAGCGGACTGAAAGCCTATCAGGGAAATGTTTATGGAATGATAGATGTAACGCCTCGTTCTGCCAGAGGTGAAAGGTGGACAAAAAAAAAAACCTAAAAGGCTCCGACTCATAGGGCCAATTATGAGCTTAAGTGTAGGTAGTGGAGTAGATACCTAAGATCGGCCTGGTGTGAGAAAATAAAAGAAAAACATTTCTAAACAAGAAACAAAGGACACCAGTAGGAGGAAATGTGAATAGATTTTCACTGCCTGTTCTACTTTAGTCTCACGGCACAATTCTTATAAAATACATTTTTTGTTTCTTTTAAAAGACAAATAAAATGTACTAGTCAATGTGATAATTTTATCAGCAGTCTTAAAAAATAGTTTGTTTTACTTTTCAAGCAACAAATCTCACAAACCTTCATCTTTTTCCTCCATGTTTTGGTGAATTTGATTGACTGCTTTTGGTTATAAGTTGAGAGAAGGCTTATTTTTAGTGTTTCACCTCTGCTTCTATTTGTGCGATCTGCGTTGTCTCATTTCTTAGAGGTTGTGACAGGCTCTGGAAATCGCCAGCACTTTTCTGATGGTTCTTTTAATTCATCCCAGAGGCCGTTTTCCCCTTTCGTTGCATTTCTCTTTGTTTGAACCATGGAAAAGTTGATATCTCTGGGATGCCTTTAGATATAACATTCTTGTTCTGATGTCCCTCTCTTAAAAAAAAAAAAGTTTAATCTCAGTGAGATCTACCTGCATAAATAAAGGTTACATATATTTACATCTGATCCACATTTGCAGCATGCATGTCTGAACTTGTATCAGTCCCTCTGTGACGTACTGGTAATCAGACAGAAATGACCCGTGTTAAAGCAAGGATGGTCTCAGTTTATGGAGCAACATTTAAATAGTAACTTAATCTTCTTCAAAGTGTAAATGCTTTTATTAAAAGCGGTATATGGGCAGACATCTGTTTTCTGTCTGCTTGTTTACTGGTGACTTAAAACAGAATTCCAGTTTACTTAGAAAATGAAAGGAGTGGGTTGGGGTTTTGGATTGGTGGTTAAAGAGAGTCCTGACGCGCTTGCAGAACTCCTGCAGATCGGGCCTGATGTGTTTTCATTTAATCGAGTTCAGGGCGGGACAATCTAATAAAGGGAACACGTCCGAAGGCCAGACTGATGCTGAAATTACCTTCTTCATGTCTTTTCTATTAGACATTTTGTTTACAAGTATTTGTACTTTGTACTTTGTATTCAATTTTTTTTACTCTGAAAAATAAAGTAAAATCAAATGCTTGAAACAACACTGCAAAAACTGATCCAAATATATAAAATAAAGATATAATGTATTTTCTCTGAGCAGATGAATTAGATGATTGCAGTATTTTTTAATAGATACTAGGGTTGTCAAAAGTATCGATACTCAAAAAAGTACTGAAACGTTGTTTCCGGATGCAATACTCATTTTTAAAAGTATCGATACAGTGCTACCACCAGTGGCACCTAAACAGTCATTCATATAAAGTGCAGAATAGAGGAAAATGCCCTTTCTGAACACTGTGTGATTGAATAATTCTGTGCACTTTTCAGTTTCAGACTTTTTTTTTGTAAGAGGTGCAGCTGCTGAGAATTATTTTTGTTTTTTAACTGGTTTGGCTAGTGTCATTGTTATGTGTGCAAAGCATAGCCAAGGAAGGAAAACTTAATTTTAATTTTGTAAGTTTTTTACCAAGCTTGTTTACTATTGTGCACAGCATACAACCTCAAAATATTCTTCTTATTGTTTATTGTATTTATTTATTGTATTTTAAATTTTGGAGTCTTTGTTTTTATCCTTGTGGTATCGAGTATCGAAAATTTTCCTTAGTATCGGTATCGAGTTGAAAAGTTTAGTATCGTGACAACCCTATTAGATACTATGCACTCAAAAGCTTACTAGCCTGATAAACCAGACTAAATGTGAGATTAAATGTGTAATTTAGTCTGGCCCCGATGAATGAGACATTGGAAGATTGTTGATGAGAACAACCTGTTGTCTTTCAAAGCATGTCTGTGCCTTTTGGCCGATGCTCTGACCAATGTGTGCAACTGACTGAGACGTAGGAAGAGTGACAGAAAGCTGGTGGGGGAGTGTAAACAAAAAGCCTGTCGGTAAAACGACGAATACGTCCTTCTCAAACATGAATGAGCGTAGAGCCTCTTCCTGCTCATGTTCAACGAAAAGTCAAATTCTTCCAAAACTGATTCCAGAGCTGAGTCAAACGAGAACTGTTCAATAGTTGTTGCCATCTTCCTTGTTGTGCTTTCTCCAGCATCACGCAGCTTTGTGGTCCTGCCCTAAAAACCCCGCCCACATGGCATCCAAAAATTCAAAACACATTTCTGCGTTGTGAATGGCCCGCCAGTTCTAGGTCCTAGGGCATTGATCGAGGCTAGACCAACTCGCAGGCAAAAATGATATAGGCCGCTGGCGGGTGTGGCTAGGTTACTAGGCTATTACTTTACCTTACTCCATCAGCAAATTCTTAAGCTGCAAAAAGTGATCGAAAATGAGTAAAAAAGTGTTAAAATAAGAGTATTTCCCTTAAATTTGAGCTGGTAAATAAGATATTCTGCTTTCAGAATGACTATTCATGATTTTGTAATATGACAATTAGATTTGATTAAATTGAAATACCATAATAGAGTTGTATTTGTTTCTTATTTTACACATAAATAATCTCTTTCCTTTGGCAAATTTTCGAACTCTTCTGTTCAAATCTAGAGAAAATAGACTTATTTCAGAAAAAAATGGACTTGGAGTTCATTGTTTGTATTGTAATTAGAACCTCACATGAGAACAAGATTTTTTTTACTCTGTAAAGACAAAGTTAATCGTTTAGTTAGCTGGGGAATTAGTGGCTGGCTGTTTTCCTCGATCCGTCTGTCTTCGTATCCACAGTTACAGACTTAATTTACACGTATATATACGTTACAGAAGGCCAGGAAAAACCGAGGTGTTCTTGGATAAGATGGCAGATTAGAGTGAAGGACATAAAGGTCGGGGCCAAGGCTTCTACAGAACCTTGCAAATAGCAGCATCCTGCAGGTGTCCACTACCAACACTCCCCCCCACTCCCTCACTATGACTTTCATTAGTTGAGAGACCAACAAATCGGGTGGGCTTATGATCAGAGAGAAAGGGAGAGAGGGGAATAGCATGTGTTTTCCCCAGGCAAGCCAGCAGCTGCGAGAGAATGATTTATGCTCTTCTCAGAACTCTGGGATCCTAAAATGTTACATTTAATCAAGCCCACTGTGAACAGAGCAAATGTTAAAGATGTTCCCTATAAACCCCTCCCGTTCTGATCTCTTTTCCATACCGTAGGATCTGTGGGAATGGGGCAACAAAGTGATCTTTAATCTCACTTTAAACATAATTTCGGAGGAGGGGTTATGAATGCTTCTTGAATTTGGTCCTCTGAGAATCCCTCCAGGCCTATAATCAGGATTATATTTAGTTCTTTGAAAGAAGCATTTTTTTTAACTATTAAACGCTTTTTGTTCCATCTGTCAGTCAGCTCGCGTCCTTCTACGCTTTAAGGAGGAAAGATTTCCTCTTCCATAGCAGCATTATTGATTCTTCAGTTTTCCTTCTTGCCGACCTGTCCGCCTGTTTGTGCTCTTTATTTAAAGTGTCTTTAGGGGTCTACCCAGAGCCTGAGAAACAGGTGGTACCTACCACCCTAAGACTAATGAGAGCAGGCGGGAATGACTGCCTCCCCGCTTTGATCTGACCACTTCACGCTAACACACCGAGGCTCACAGACACCCTATTATCCTCATTGATACACGGCCGCGCATGCATGCAGAGAATAGCTACGCAGATTCCTTCTGTCTGAAACCGAAGCTTGTTGTAATAGCGCACGGACTCTGTAGATGGAGTGTGAACTGACAGAGGATCTCCCCTGGTAGGCTGCTCCGTTACAATCTTTCAGAAGCCTGTCGTACTTTTATATGTCCATCTATCATGCCGCTTCCCCCCCTACTTGTATGCGTCCTCTCACTCCATAGAGTGTTAAATCAACAGTCTGGCTCGGTCTCAGGCAGCAGCTTGATGGCTTTAAGCTGCTGCCTGAACCTTTTGTTGCTGATGCATCTCCGGTAGACTTAATGCTACTAAAAATAAATTCCTTATATGCTTTTTTGAAAACCACCATTTGGCAAGTTGTTAAAACCCTTTTCGTTCATAAAGTTGGTGTCTGACCAAA